ATGACTGAGTGTGGAATCATGGGAGTTGTTGTCTTCATCCCCACAGCCGATGCAATCCGACTGGACTCCTTGCCACTAGTTAAAATTGCTTATTTCTCTGGATTTAAACATTCTTCGAAACATTTGGGATAATTTAAGTACACAAGTCAGCAAAATATGTAACACTGTTTATAGTTTTTGGATATTTTATAAAAAACAACTTACATATTGTGCATTTAAAGCAATATTCACCTAAAAATTAAAATTTGCTGTACTCATCCTCAGGCTATCCAAGATGTAGATGAGTTTATTTGTTCATGGAAACAGATTTGGAGAAATGTAGCATTCCATCACTTGCTCACCAGTGAATCCTCTGCAGTGAATGAGAGTCCAAACAGCTGATAAAAACATCACAATAATCCAGAAGTAATCCACATGACTGCAGTCCATCAGTTAATATGTTGTGAAATGAAAAACTGCATGTTTGTAATAAACAATCTATCAGACTTTTTAACTGTAAACCGTTGCTTCTGGATTTGTTTGGACTCTCATTCTGACGGCACCCATTCACTACAGAGGATCCATTGGTGAGCAAGTGATGGAATGCTACATTTCTCCAAATCTGTTTTGACAAAGAAACAAACTCATCTACATCTTGGATGGTCTGAGAGTGAATACATTTTAATTATTGGGTGAACTATTCCTTTAAGATTATTTTCCGATTAACAGAGGTGGCACAGACAAATCAAAACTCACCGAGGAACCATTACCCTACTTCTGAATGTTCTCATCAGAACAAAAGGTTGTTAAAACATTTGATTTTGATGAATAAAAACACAAATGACATCCACACTAATCTATGATAGTATCGTACATTAAATATGTACAAAATATCAATCTCCAAGGAAGGTGTTTTCCACAAGAAGACACAAGTACCAGTTTCTCATTAAAATGAAGATACTTTTATTTCTTTTCTTAAAAAAACAAACAATACAAAAAAAATCAGGAAAAAAAAAATAAAAAATTAAATCAAGCACAAAAAACAAAACATTCATACATTTTTGGACAGCTAGGTTAAAAACCAATTTATAGATAGCATGAGTGGAAATATTCAGAGATGCCTGGCAGAAAGGATCGAACCTAGTCAGAATGCCATGTATGCGCTGTAGACAGAAAAGCCCCTTGAAATGCATCATGGTATATACGTCATATGTGTCTGAAATGAAAAACAAGCAGCAACAGAAATATATATTTAATGAGCAAACACACATAAGGTATGAATAGTACAATTCTTCTCCATCCTCACAGTACAAATATGCCTCTGAGATTACAAACGCATCTGGATCCAGGGCTGAAGAATAACAATATTTGACTTTTTAAAATGTTATTTGCTCAGTTGAAGGGATCCCTTAACATTCGGCAATACAATCTCTGGACAAAAACGGGCACAAGTCAAAGATACCAGCGGTTTCTGAACATTTAGCTTTGCGGTACAATATCTCGAAAAACAGGCTTTGTAAGGCAGAAACTTCCCATGCAATTAACCATTATAGGTCTGATCTCAGCACACTCACACTGCGTGCCTCTTTTGAGAAAAGAGATGAATGCATTCGTACTGCAGCCTTTATACGAGATGATCAGGTGGATGAGGAAATTATTATTATTTTTTTTTTTAAATGCATATTACAAAGGTCACAGAGAAATGAACATATTCCAGGTTCAAAATGCGTTAAGCTCAATGGATGGCATCTGCAGAACGGATCATCACAGAAAATATTCTCATATCTGTTTGCTAAAAAAACAGAAATGCACTTACAAATGGTAGGTGCCATTGTAGATGCACAACAAACCGAGTTAGGAATCTAAATTATTTTCTGTGGTAATTCTGCAGATTTCATAAACAGAATTTGGCCCATTTCTAACCCAGAATATTCTGTTAAAAAGCTAACTGCATTATGGTTCAAACTACACAAATCGAGACCGTTTATTTAAAAGGTAAAACCACAAACTGAACAGCAAACCCTGGATAAAGTGTGTACCACGACGAAAGAAATTCTCAAAACATGAGCATTAGTTGTCAGTCTGTCCATCTTCAGCTGATGATCCGCATGTAAAGAGCTGAAAGCGCATGTTGAATAAATACAAAACGAATCCTGGGATAAGCACGGCCAAAACAAACGCTGTGAACCATTACGGACTGCGACAACAAACGCATCGGATCTCATTCAGGAAACACTGTTGCAAAACTATTCATAGGTAACTTGCTGTATTTTGTGGTCATTTTAGCAAATACAGTGTTGCGAGCAAAACCGAACGCAACAATTTGGTCCTCGTTTGTTAAACACAAGCACAATCTTGTGCAAACTGCAGTGAATTGACTAACAGTTTGTAGACAATTGCGTTTACACTTTTTTTTTTTTTTGCGCTGCATGAGTGAGGCCCTTAGTCGCGATAATTTACGCAAGAATGGTTTTACGAGCATTTTACACAGCAATTCATTTCATGAATGAAGACCATCGGTCGCAACAATGCAGAGTGGATGTTAAGCTTTATACATGTTACTGAAATGAACGAGCGCAAAAGCTTTTTTTTTTTTTTTGTGATTACCCCGGGCGAGCAGCGAAGCTACTGGTTGGAACGATGGGCTTCCCTCGAGATTATATACCCATAAATAAACAGATGCAGACACATTTTACGGAATAATATATATAGATATATATGCTCACAATTTCTGGGAAAACGTCCTTTTGCGATATGGAAATTATAGGTAAACGAAAAGAAAAGAAAAGTTCAAACCGTTGAGCCAGGCCACAAAAGACACTGAAACAAATCTGAAAAGCAAACAAACCCCAAAAAAAACAACAAAAAAAAGCAAAAAAGGAAAGAGTGTAAAGGGAAATAGAAGAAGAAAGGGACGACGTGAATAACATGGCTAGTCTTCCCCAGATGGAGCCTCCTCTTCTGAGCCGTCCTCTTCCTCGTCTTCTTCCTCGTCTTCAGGGGCGTCATCCTTTGTCTTTTTGGATGGAGGAGACTCTTTCTTCTCCACCTCTTCTTCCTCCTCGTCTTCAAGGGGGCTCTCGGGTTCGTCGTCGTCTTTGGGCGAGGATTTCTCCACTGCTTTAGCTGCACTCGGGCGACCTTTCCCTTTGCCTTTCATGGGGCTAGGGTTCACTGAGGGACAAACAAACACGTTTACACTCCTGTTCAAAAGTCCGGGGTCATTAAGAGCTTTTTTTATTATAAAAAACTTGTTTTATTCAGCAATCATCAAAAATGACATTAAAGGGTTAGTTCAGCCAAAAATGAAAATTAGGTTGTGTTTCACTCACCCCCGATGCATCCTAGGTGTATATGACTTTCTTCTTTCAGACGAATCCAGTCGGAGTTATATTAAAAATTGTCTTTGATCTTTCAAGCTCTATCGTTGTACTCAGCGGGTGTTGCATTCCTTCAGTTCAAATTACGTGAAATAAAAAGCACCTTTCCATAAAAATAAAAAAAAAGTGTCTCACACGGCTCCGGGGGGTGAACAAAGGCCTCCTGTAGCGAATCGATGCGTTTTTGTAAGAAAAATATCCATATTCAAAAAGTAATAATCACTTGAAGCTTAAAGTGAAGTGAAGTGACATGTGGCCAAGTATGGTGACCCATACTAGGAATTAGTGCT